GATATACTGACAAAACAGAATACACATACACACACACACACACACACACACACACACACACACACACACACATACACACAATAACTGAATTAAAAATTAAATAAAAAATTAGTAATAAATGAATTTAAAACTAAAAAATGTGATTTACAGAAAACATTCACACACTAGGTGAGCATCTGTATCATATGTGGGAAATAATAAAAGAATAAGCAAACGAAAGAGCAGCAGGTGATACACAAACTATTTCTTTTTCATTTTTATCTTTTCAAGACCAAGTGTCTCACTGTGTATACCTGCTTTGTCTAGCTTTGAACTTGTAACCTTCCTGCCTCAGCCTTGGAGTCAGTCCAAACTGCTATGAGAGCAAAGTGCTAATATAACAGAATAACCTGGAAGGTCCCTACTTTGAACATGACAAGGTTTCTTTCTCAACAGAGACAGGGCTGACATTTTTGAGCCAGGTTATGGGGAGCCGGCCTGTGCATGTCAGGATGGCTGTGACACACAAAAATGTCTCTAGACCTTTACTGGGCATAACTGTCCCCAGGGGAGGACTCTATAAGGCATAAGGAAGGTTTCTCTGAAGAGGTGTCTTGGAACGGAGAGCTGAAGGAAAAGCTTCAGTTAGCCGGGAGTTTGCAGGAAGACCTTCTAGCAAACAAAACGAATGATGTCAATCAGGCAAAGGTCTTGCATATTTGAGAAACCCAAAGAGGACCACGGCAAGGATGAGAACTATAATGAGGGTACAGAAACAGAGCTTTGTAGGTCACAACAGAGAACTAAGAGCAGCTGGAGGGGTTGGAGAGAGAGTTAAGAGCACTGGCTGCTTAGGAAGAGGACCTGGGTCAGTTCCTAGCACCCAGCTCACCACCATCTGTAACTGCAATTCCAGGGAATCCGATGCCCTTTTCTGGCCTCCATGGGCACCAGGCACGTGTGGTATACAGACATAATTCTGACAAACACATAACACACAATAATCTTTACATTTAAAAAAAAGTAAATGTAATCATCTCTCTTGCTATTGTCCAATGGTAGAGAGAGAAAACACCACAAGAGGGCGCGAGAGGAAGTCGGAGGTCCTATTATATCCCTACCCCAAATGGCTAAGAAACCATTCCTATGGCAACGATCAGGTGTGACTGCACATACATCAGCAGCATCTACACTACCTTGCTATAGTTGCAGAAGCTTAACCTGTGCCTGCGGATAACACAGTCCATAACATTAGCGGTTCCAGGCACAGAGAACAGGGACCATTGCTGGCAGCAAGATCTCTGTATAATCTGGGACAAAACAGATACATCCCTGCGCCTGTTTCGAGATTACTGTCATAGGTAAAACACGGACACTCACACTCGAGATCAGCAAGGGTCAGCTCCCCTGACCTCCCAGGCGGATACAATCAACCAGCTGCAGATTCTGTCCCTAGCTCCTCTGTCACCTGAGCAGACTGTCTCCCAGCTGGGTTGGTCTCCGGAGCCCAGTCCGGAAACCAATGCCTCAGTTTACCCGTCCGCACTCGAGACGATGTGGCCGAAGGGCTTCCAGCCACGCTTTGCGGCCAGCCTTCCTGCACCAGGCCCCGAAGCTCCAAACTCGGTTCGCAGCCTCCTTTGGTTCACGCCCCCGGGGCTGGGGCTGGGGCTGGGAATTGCCCGCCGCCGGGCACGCGACCGCCTCACCCTCCTCACCCCTCTCGAAGTCCATCTCCTCCAGCGTCTGCTGTACCCCGGGCACCGCACCGGGGTGTGAGCAGCAGGAGCTGTCCGAGCACGGTTGCGGCGCCGCCATCTCGGCTGCCGGGTCTGCAGCGGGGCGTTCCTACGAAGTGCCCACCCCTCCGTCCCAGGCTGACCACTCGGCGTCCGTAGCTGACCTCCGAGTCCCGCCCTCTCACCCGAGCCGACCAATCCGACGTTTAGATCTTAGCTTAGCAACCAATGACAGTAGCGAGGCGGGGCTGGCTAGGTTGAGCCTGGCTGCTCTGTCACCACCGGAGGGCGCCCGAGGCTAAGCAAGCACCCGGAGGAGCAGAGGCGTGGGGTTCTGCTGCGCGCCCCGGAGGAGGCGGGACGGTTCCTGCAGCCGCGCCTTGTAGGGTGTGGGGATCAAGCAGCTTGGCCCGCCTGGCAGTGTTTATGTCGCTTTCGCCAGAACTGAAGAAGCCTCGCGGGTTCCCAGGGCACAAGGACTCTGGACGCCGCCCACACTCTCTCATCCCTGGACGCCGCCCACACTCCCTCATCCCATCTTCCGGGCATCACCCGAGCCCCTGGCTGTCCATGGGCAGCGCAGTGACCGCCAGAAATCCACTAACATCCCGACCCTCGTTCCGTAACTATCCAGTGGGAAGCAGGTGGCCTGAGGGCGAGGACCACCTTTGTGCTTAACCCTTCCGCCCCCTCAATGGACACACTGGTTGCCAACATCCGCTGGGCTGACATCTGAGCTAAAGGGAACACACTCCAGCATGATCCAGCCTTCTGACCCACACTGAGGGAAACCAGGACAGCAGCCTGCTTAAACTGCAACCGAGTGTGTGTGTGTGTGTGTGTATGGGGGGAGCCGAGGGGGAGGTGCTCACTGTCGTGGTCTCTATCCCTATGTACGGGTTAGATTTATCTAAACCAGTCGTCCAAATTGCAGCCAACAATAGCATCAAATTCAGCACAAAACATCTTAAAACGTCCTTTTTTTTTTTTTCCTTCCTATTTTCCCTTTTGAAACTCGAGTGCCAGGCAACTCCCATTAAGGGCACTCAAAAATGAATCCAGGCTGGGCCTGTTGTTTTTCCAGGAACATCTGGGCCTATACTACTTCTTCACTAGAACCAGGGCTTGGAACTCACTGGGTGGCAGTAGGGGACTATCTTTCCCTGCATTGATGGGACAGAAAGCTACAAGAAGTCTCTTCTTCCACTGAGCCTGTCCTGAGCGCCATATTTATAAAAAACACTGTCCACACAACCTTGAGAAGTTTCTAGGAGATCCTTTCCTTCCGACCCCTCATCCCCTGCTCACCCTCCCTGGAGTTCTGGGAAGACAAACCCCCTTCTCCTCCTCTTCCCCCAATGCTGACTTTTCCCTGTGGCACCAGGCCAAGTCTGGCTCCCAAGAGGATGTAGCCCTGGTCTGGTTCCCAGTCCCATAGGCACCACTGTGGGAAAACACTTGAGTCTCAGCTGGCCCCTCCAGAGGGGGGGCACAGACAGGCATTAAGACCATGATGGGCCCAGCCCAAAGGATGGTTCCCTCTTGGTTCAACAGACAGGTTTTAGTCAAAATATCTGCACACCAGAGTTAAGTTTCATTTTCTCCATTTTATTTGTCAATATAAAAATACTCAAATATTTACAACAAATAAATATGTGGGGACACAATAAGTTACACTGTTAGGAGCCCTTTTCCTAGAGCTGGGAGAGGATATGCCAGTATCCACAGCATGCCCACCTTCTCCCTCCCCTCCCCCCCCAACAACCTTTCCCAGCCCTTTCGGAAGAGCACAAGTATAAAATACCACTGAACCCAGAGGCCAAGTGGGAGGCCCTGCCCACCCTTCCCCCTGAAACAGGAGGCTCCATCTCCCTCCCCCCGCCCTGAAAACATTCACAGCCCTAGGAGCAGGACCAGGCCCACCCCTGAGTCCTGCACTCCCCCAAAGGGGTACAACACCCTGTCCATCCCATCCCCATATGTACATCACTGTCCCAAGCTCAGGCAGGACAGGTGGGGGTAGGAGAGGCAAAGTGGTATGACCCCCTTCCCCTTCATAGCTCCAAAGACTCACCAGGAGGACCCCAGGCCAAGGGAAGACTTGACAAAGACACACCTACACACACATGCACACGCACGCACGCGCGCACCCTTACACACACACACACACACACACACACACACACACACACACACCAACACATCTATGCACAAACACCCACATCTTGAAACTTCCGCCTTGCAAAGTTTTGGCTGCTGGGGTCCCACATGTCTGAAATTCACAGAGGAGGGCGAGCCGCCTGTGAGGCTGATGCCCTGGTGAGCCACACCAAGTGGCAGTGCCCACGCTGAGCAGGTCCTCATGGCTGGGCAAATGCTGGGCAATGTCTGTCCCAGGCCAAGCAAGTGCTCCCGCCATGTCCCTGAGGTAGCTGGTGCCTGTGCAAAAAGGTTGAGTGTACCTCCCACGAAACCCCCCCGCCAATGAGGTGGGTGGGGGGTTCCTCTCATACTGAGGACTCCTCTGGGTTGGAGTCAGGCAGTGGCTGGCGCTGTTGTAGCTTGCGTCGCAGTTCATCGGCGAGCTCCGGCAGTGGGTGCCCAAGTCCTCCTCGGTCCTCCCCTCCCAGCTGTAAGCGCACGTAACCATTGGCGTTTGAGTTCTGACCACCCCCTAGGTGAAGCCGAGTCGGAGAAGGCAGGGGCTGGCCAGGTATGCCAGGCGGTGGAGAAGGGGGCCCACCCCCAGGCTGGCACCGGGCATGGCCAGGCACGATCTTGAGAGAGCCATCTGAATAGTAGTAGCCGACGGGATCCCAAAGTTTCTCATCTGTTTCGGGGCCGGGGCGAAACGGGGGGCTGGTTGGTTCCTTGGGCATTTCTAGGGGGTACACCAGTGTCCTCTCGGCTGCCTTGGCACCTTTTTCGAGCTCTTCTCGAAGTCGCCGACGAAGGGACAGAACCAGCAGCAGCAACACCAGGCACACGGCCGCCAGAGCCACCACAGCGAGCCATACGAGCCCCAGGTTTTCCAAGGGAGCCCGGGCCTCCAGGGTCACTGACGGGCCAGCCACGACAGAGACAAGGTAGCTTTCTGCAGCCAGCCTTGTCCCCTGCTCCTCCGAATAGCAGTGATAGGGCCCGGTGTGGCGGGGCTGGGCAGCCATCACTACCAGGGCCTGGAGTCCTCTGTCATAGAGGAAGGAGCCGGGTTGCTCTGCAGTCAGGTCCCGGCCTCTGAAGGTCCAGCGAGCGTGGGCCAAATTGGATGAGAGGTGGCAGGGCAGAACCAGGTCTGTGCCTGTGACTACTGTGATGTTCTTGGGGGTAGGTCTGACTGCAGAGGCAAAAATGGGAGGGAACGGAGTGTTAACATAGGAAACCCAGGGCAGCGGCGGCGGGAGGAGATGTACCAACTCTGGCTGGGATTGGGGGGGGGGGGATGGGGGACGGGGGATCCCTAAAATGAAAGAATGCAGGAAAATCAGCTCACCTTTTTTAATGCCATACTGGTTACAGATCTTTGAGGTGTCCAAGTTCATCACATGTTGGACCAGAAGGGATCTGATAGGGGAGTGAGAAGACATCACCAGTCTGACTCCAACCCCTCCTGGCCCTAGCCCTCAAAGGCCCAGGCCCTGGGGCCCTCACAGATCCCCGGACTCACCCTGAGTGAGCACTGGTGGTGGCCACACAGCGGCTGGTGTTGACATTCCAGGCACAGTAGGGGTCCCGGGCAAGGACACAGTCAGCACAGAAGCGGTACTTTGTGCAGTCAGTCAGGGGTAACTGAACCAGCTGAGAGCGGGAGCCAGCGAAAAGCATCTTCTGCAGAAAGATCAGGCAAAGGGTGAGCCTTTGCGGGGGGCCGGGCCCAGAGACAGCCAGGGTTTGTGCAGAGAGCCTGAGCACACTGGGTACCCAAGGAGGAAGAAGGCAGAAGAAAAATCCAGGCCGGAGGAACTAACTTGATGAGGGCTTAGCCAGCACAATCCTAATCACTTTATAGACATGACCTCATTAGCCAAGGACGGAGCGCACCTGTGAGGCTGAAGAATCAGCGCACTCGCTCACACACAGTTCAGGAAACTTGCCTTCCTCCAGCCCTAAGAGCCAGCACACTAACAATGGTGCCCCTCTAAGGAGTGTTCCTGTTGGAGTGGCGACCGCCAATCTGTATGTTTGCTCAGCCCCACATTCTCCTTGCTGCCATTTCATTATTCTGTGATCGGGGGAGCAATTTGGAGTCCCACTAGTTGGTAAAAGGCAAACAAATCAAAGTCCAGAGGGTGCCGCGAATATGCCAGTTTTGTACGATGGTTAAAAAAAAAAAAAGCAACGTTTCAAGGAAATAATCCAGGAATTTGAGGAGGGCCTGGCTCAGAGACCCACCGGGGACTGGAAGAAAACCCGATGACCCTGTTGCGTGGGTACCAAAACCATCGTGGAACCTGGGAGGTCTGGTCAACCAGGGCATGACTGAGAAGAGGTTATAGGCAAAGCCCCGGCCCCACGCGGAAGTGCCTGAAGAAAACATGAGGGCATTTGCCAAGGCTGGATTCTGGGAATGGGGACCCCACGGGGACTGGCTCTCTATAAGAACCCTTGGAGGGCAGGTTCCGATGCGTTAGGGCTCTTACTTCCTGGAACTCGCGAGAGCTAAGTGAGGAGTTCTGAGCTGGCCAATCTCATGAGCCCAACTAAGGAAGGCAAAAAGACTGGGTTTGTGTGAGACAGATGGTGCTGGAGAGCAGTGGTGTGTGTGTGTGTGTGTGTGTGTGTGTGTGTGTGTGTGTGTGTGTGTGTGTGTGTGTGTGTCTCCCATTTATTACCCTGCTCCGAGACAGCACCAGACTCTCCACAGGCTCCTGGTCAAACACCTGCAGTTCCTCTACCATGTGGACCCAGGGCCCCAGGCTCACAGCCTTCAGCAGCCAGCCATCCCCTGGAGAGGTGACAGAGCAAGTAGGGTATGTAAATGACGCGGTCTCAGGCCTCGGGGCATCCCCAGGTTCCCAGCCTTGGGCACCCTGCAAGTGCCTACCTGTACCAATGAACAGCACTGTATAGGTGGCGCCATCAAGTCCCGTGACCCTGTCGGCCACCACGTGCGTGAAGTTAGTGTTCTTCTTCACAAGTAAGGGGCGGTCCCACCGAGGCCTCACCTGCTCCTCCATCAGCGGGTGCTTCTTGATGAAGTTGAGGATGTTGTCGGGCAGCTCCAGAGAACTGGTGTAGCCATTGTGGCGATGCCAATTGTTGATACACTGTGTGTGTGGGGGGGATATAGGAAGGAGAGCTGTCAGCAGGGGGAACGGATGGGTCCTGGAGCTGCTGATGTTGGGAGCACATCCCCATGCCAAAAACTCACCGAACCAGGGCGAGGACTGGGGACCGGGTCAGTATAGCGGGCCCACTTCTGGGCTTGCTCACTGTACTCTTTGTAGGGACCCTCGAATACCTGCTGGATCTGTTCCAACTGGTACTCACAGATTGCGGACAGGTCCATATCACCCCTGTTATAGCAAAGGAAGGTCTGGTACCTACTTGCCCGCACCATACCCCAGCTCCAGAGAGAGCACTACGAAGGCAGGGCTCGGTACAGAGCAGTCATGGCCATAATGTGGCTCTGAGGTATCACCCGAAGCAGTTTCTGCCCCCCCTCCCCTCCGCGGAGCTTTAAAAAGAGCAGGCCAGAGCGATCTTGGCTGCCAGGCAACTGACCCGCTGGACTTCCTCCAGAGGCCTGTGCGGGCCCTCACACCCACACACTATCCCCATCCTGACCACCTGCTCCTCCCTACCCGCAGCTACCCCAGAGCGGGGACTTACCATCGCGCTTGAAAGACCCCGAAGAAGGTGGTGTTGTGCCAAGAGGTACCCAGCAGGGTGTGCACTGCCCGAAGCTGGTTGAAGTAGACCTTCCACTCCGGGGCTGAGCACACCAACTGCGCTTTTAGGAACGTTGTCCACTTCTTCTGCAGGGTCCGTGCGCCCCCCATGTCTCCCTGGCAGATGGCAAGGAGACATGGCTGGTCAGCCCCTGCCAAGCCTTCGGGGGCTCCCCCTGCCCACCACTGCAGAACTCGGTACCTTACAGACTCGAGCCACACGGGCCACCACCTGCTCGGCATAGCAGTCATACTCCACTGCCCGCTCGCTGAAGAAGAAGTAGACCTTGTCATCGTCCCCCGTGAAGCTCCCCACACTCTCGGGGACGTAGGCAGAGCCTACAAAGTGGGGTTCTGGGGCAGAGCAAAGAGGGTCAGTGGCAGGGTGCCAGGGCCTTGGAAGGCCCTTCCACTCTTGGCTTCCCCAATCCCACTCCGGGACTCACCATTCAGCCAAAACGCCAGGTACTCGGTCTTGATGGAGTGGTGAGGCCCCATATTTCGCAGGATGACAGGCTCTGTACCCAGGAAGTTGTTGAGTGTGGCTGAGAACAACTCACCATCTACGTACGGGAGACAAACGGCGGTTAACCAAGCTAGAAAAGTAAGGTACAGAAGTACTCTGGCGACAAGCGTCCGGAATGTGACTGACCAAGTCCCAGAAGATTTGTCCTGTCTGTACTAGAGGCAGGTACTCACCCACAAGCAGTCCAGTGTGGCCCTTAGCTGGGTCATAGGGACATTTACCCTTCCCGTCCTCAAATTCTCCCCGCTCCAAGGTGAAAGTGATCATGTCCTAGGGGGCAGGAAGACATGGAAGACAGGCATGAACACGGAGGCCTGCAAAGCCTGAAAAATCATGGTCTGGGCATCTACGGGAGGAAGTCACAGAAGTTAGGGACAGGTGGGTAGGGGGAACACCCAAAGGGGTCAATACTCACGATGTAGGTGCACTTGGGCTGGAAGGCATAGGTACCACAGACGTACAGGTGGGAGGCATTGTACGGCTGAAGGAAGCGGATGAAGTTGAAGCATTCGGTCTTCCGAGAGAAAGGTATACAAGTCAGTGAGAACTGAGAGTCAGAGATCCGGGACCACCAGGGTCCGGCATGGAGACGGGGAAGCTAGCGTGCCACAAAGGCCTGGCAGGGGAAGTGCCCTGGGTACCCACCTGGTTGCTCTTCCCTTTCTGGGTACACTCCATCTTCTTCTCAACCGGGGCCTCCCAGGAGATCTGAGGATCGGAAAGGACGCATCAGCGACGTCACAGACAGGCCTGTGCTAAGTGTGTGCCACGCGCGCACACAGCTTGAGCTGCGCCATGGGCGACCCCTGGTCCCCATTCTGACGCAAGCCCCCAACCCTCCCACCTGGCGGAACCCAGAAGGGAAGAGCAATCGCCAATCCTGACCCCAAGAGAGACCTCTGGGCTGAGGGACAGCCTGCACAGGCCACACCCCCTGAGCCCTCCCCTCCGTGTGCCTCCCCCTGCCCCACCTCTCACCACGCCTCGCAGCTCCAGAGCCTCCACGCTGAAGGCAAACAGCGCCTCTCGGGCCCCCACATATAAAAGCCCAGAGTGCTCTCTCAGGGTCAAGGTCAGGAAGTCCTGGATGCCCGTCTGGGAGAACCGCCTTACTACTGTGGCCAGCTCTGTAGAGACAGGGAGGACGGGAACAAGGTGGGAATGAAGAAGTGGTGACGAGCAGCCTCCCTAGGGTTCCAGGAGTCCCCTCCATCATCCATCTTCCTTTGTCCAACGATCCCCTGGGCCTCATCCTCACTGTTCTCCACAAAAGCTAACACACACACACACACACACACACACACACACACACACACACACACACACACACAGATGACAGCCAAACCCCTGCTGGCCATAAAGGACTTTTTTTTCTGAATAGACTTTGGCTCACCAGCTCCACCCGACCCAGGCTTCCGAAGCCCCTCTTTAGCCTGGGAGGAGGCAATCTGGGCTGGTAAAGTGGAAGGAAGGATATCTCAGCCAAAGCTTCCGGCCAGAGGAAGCCATCATCTGACTGATGGCTCTTATTCAGGGTCAGCGGTACCTCAGGCGCTGAGCGGGGCACTTCCCCCACCCCGCCCCTCTGAGCTGCCATTTCCTCCATGGCTCAGCTACTTGCTGACCACATCAGGGTCCAGCCAGACCCTGGCGGCAGATCCAAGGTGGGGGGTGGGCAGGAGGCACAGAACAGTTGTGAGCAATTCCTTGTCTCAGGATGCCATTCACTGCAGCAGGTGCCAATCCTGGCTTCCAGAGAGGCAAGCACAGATGGGTATGGGATTGTCAAGGTGGCATGTGGGGAAGGAAAAAGTTAGGCCTGCGGGGGGCGGGGGAGTGGGGGGTGGGTGGGGCAAAGGAACCAGAGGCTCAGAGATCAGAGATGGTGTTGAGTCCTGAGAAGCCGTGCTGTGGTCCAGCACATGTAGGACACGGTCATACATATCGTCACGTCATCTGTCAGAGGCCCACATTCCTGCCCACCTGTCCACAGGGGCTGCACTTAAGCCAGCCTCACTCAGTCTTTGGAGGCAATGACCAGCCAGAGCTGGGTCGGCCCGGGAGGGGCTTCATTAGCAGCTGAGTGTGGCCTGTGGGAGGTGAGCTCATCCCATGTCCCAAGAGCCCCTAGATGATACAAACACCTGACATCATACAGGTGTGTGTGTGTGCAAAGGAGCCCTGTCTGCTCTGCCTCCTCCCGCACTGAGCACAAGCGCTTGCTCGCATCCGGCCACCCAGAGCCACCAGAAGGCTCCAGTGTTGGGGCAGCAGGCGAGGGCCATTAGGTGAATCAAGGGGCTCCTAGGGACAGACAGCTAGAAAGACTGGAGATGGGGCTAGGCTTACACTTGCCCTGGGGTTCAGGTTTCTCTCCCTAGGCGTCCAAGCACTAGCGACAATTCAAGTGAGGAACAGGGGGGGTGACTCAGACACTACCTTCCCTTGCACACGAGGACAGCCAGGTCTGGGTTGGGGGTGGTGGAGGTAAGAGATCTCGAAGTTATCTCCGTGTCAGATGGGGGCAAATCCCAGGTCCCGACCTGCACTACCAGTTCTGGGTCCCTGGGGCCACACACATTTCTTAGAAAGCCACAACCACACGTATCGGTATAAAGATACACGCTTGGGGGGGGGGGGTAACTCCTCTGCGGCCGCTCCTTCCTTCAAGCAAGCATCCCCTTCTTCCCCCAGCAGTCCATTCCTGCCTCCCTCTGGCCCTGCCTCCCACGCTTCGGGCACTCACCCCCAGAAGATACTGTCTTCCGGGGCACAAGGTTCCACCACACCTCAGCCCCAATGCCCAGGCCCCACAGCCCTGCTGCCAGCAGCCAGACAGCCCAGTGTGGGGCCATGGCAAACACCCAGGCTCTAAACTTCAGTCCAGCAGCCCTGCTGAAGGAAAAGAAACTGGTCAGCGTCACAGACCGGAAGGGGGCCCGCACCAAGAGCCAGGCAGCACGGGGCGCACGCTTGGACACAACTCCCCCCGGAGCTCCTGGATCTTCCCCCTGCTCCCTTTCTTGGAGCAGACCTAGCTCCTGCAACTGGCCTCTGACCCCAGGGGCCCTGGGGGGGTGGGGTCTCCCAGAGGAGCAAAGAGAGGAGCTGAGTCAGCAAGAACTAGGCGTGGGCAGTCATCAAAAAGCCTTCCATGGCCTCCAGGCCATCCCTACTCCCTCTCTTCAGCAGGGAGTTTGTAGGAAAAAAAATAAAAAGGGGACTCCCCTCCTTTCCTCCTCCAGGTCTAAAAGGTTTTAGAATAATCTTAAGAAACAGGACTTGCTACCTGGACTCCGGTCAGTCCCAAGACCTAATTCGGGGAGGTGTACCCCTTACTCGGCAGAGGCAAGCAGGCAGGCAGTTAGGCAGAGACCCCCAGTGGGGGGGGGACCGGGTGCAGCAGGCTGCGTGCGGAGTTCCCGGCCCCAGCCTGTCCCCTCCCCCAGCGCAGACAATAGCCGGGCAGAGCCCAAACCCGGTTCCACATCAGCAGGGCTGGAGTAGGAGTCGGGAACCAAACGGGCCCAGCTTCCCGAGGCCCCTTTGTTGCCCAAGAGGGAGGCAGGAAGTGGGTGGGATGGGCGTGGAAATGACCAGGGCCAGTCCTGTTCTTCCAACTGCCTTCTACGAGACACTGACCCTCCGTCAGAGAGGCGGCCGGGAAAACGAGTCGGCTCCGGGCTTACGGGGAGCTCCTCACCGCGGCGGGGGAGGGGTCGTAGAAGGAAGTGAAATGGATCTGGGAGGCCAAAGAGGGTTTCTCCTGGAGCCTAGGGGGATGCCCACGAATGGCCCTCGAGGGCTGCGTTTCCCCTCCGGCTCTGACGAACGTTCTTAACTCGGGGATTGCACCCCGGGGACCCTGGCCTAGGCATTAGGCCAATGGGACCGATTTCCACTAATCCAGACACTCGGGGCCGGGAACAGAGATGCAGAATCTGGGGATTTCACCCCAAAACAAAGGTTCCAAGCCAAGATCGGGTCCAGGTCTCTCTACTGTGGGCTCTCCCCTCCCCCAGCTCCGGGGATTTGAATGCAAACAAAGCGGCGCTGGGAGCGTGGCAAAACCCGGCTTGCGGACGCCCCCTGTCGGCCCAGAACCCCTGCGCGGGAAGGCGAGGTGGGGGGGGGGGCTGCCTTCCCCCGGGCAGTCCCCCTGACACACCCTCAGCTTCCCCTCTACCAATTACCCTACGCTGGGGTCAGAACTCGGTGGCGTGCTCCGAGAATCCGCCCGCGTACGGTGACCCAACCCCCAGCTCTTCCCAAGGCAAGGGAGGCGGACAGCCAGGTGGACGGAGGGGTGCAGGACCAGAATTTGTGCACCACACTTGCACACCCGGAGCAGCCGATCGTGGATCGCGGCGCTTCAGCGCGAGACCCGGCGGCCGAGCTCCGAAGAGAGAGGGCTGGTTCTCAGTGTCAGCCTGCCTCCCCAGCAGAACGGGAGGGCGGGGGGCCACGCTAGGGAAATCTGATCCCACAACATCGGCCGCGGTCCAAGCCCGCCCCAAACTTTCCGTCGGTGGGGGAACCGTAGCAGTTCGCGAACCTGGCAAATATCCGGACCGCGCGCCGGACAGCCCGAGGGTCTCCCACTGCCCCTAGTTCCGCACCCTAAGGCGCCCGCCGCTCCGGCCGCTGGAGCTGCAGGCACTGCTCGCCTTGCTCCCGATCGTCTGCTGAGCAGCCCGCGGAGGGCTCGAGAGGGACCCGGATCGGACAGCTGTCTGCGCTGCCGCCCCGCCCTGCACCCCCAGACGCTGTCCTCTCGCGTGCGCGCCAGCCCCGAGCCAAGGGGACAAAGCGGCAGCTCCGGGGCCCCAGGGCTCCGGCCTCACTCACCTTTTCGGTGCAGCTCGAATCCCTGGGCGCCGCCCTCGCGTTCGGCTCCGGCCGCGGTCCTCCCCTCTCCCCACGCCGCTCTGGCCCGCGTGCGCCCGCCAGCACGCCTAGGCTGTCCCGCGCCACCGCCCCGCGGTCCCAGCACCGCTCTCGGCGCCCCTGAGCTCGGGGTCCGTGCTCCACCGCGCCGGGCGCCGGTCCTTTCTCCGCTGCCGCCGCTGCTCTCCGCCCCCAACCCCCTGACGTCAGGCGAGGAGGGTGTCGAGTGGTGGCCGGGGGCGGGACACGAAGGCCCGCCTAGGAGGGGGCTGTGACTCGCTGCCTTGCTTGCCCAGCCCTGAGGCTTTGGGACCCTGGTGACTCCGGCGGCTGGGGAGTCAAGGTCTACGCCATGGCGCCAGGAGGGAGAGGTTCGGGGGAGGGACTCCAGGCGTTGCCATCGGGAACCGCACTCACCTGGTCTCCCCGAAGTGTGCCTTCAAGCCTTGCAGCGGGCTGGGCTCAGGAAGGGCTGAGGGGTTCCCCCACGTTCCAGTTACAGGAATGAAAGCTGGCGAGCCATTTTGGGATGAGTATCCGAAGGGAGGGGAGCAGCGGAGGAAACCGGAGGTTCTCTCAGGAGCTAACCACAGTGGTCAGTCTTTTCCTCCGAAGTCATCCTTCTTTCTGGCCCTAACCCTTGGGCTGGAAGGAGCGGCTCACAGGCAGAGAAGACCCCCCAAGTCTCCAGGCAGCTCCTCGTTTCTAGGCTCCTGTAGAGTGACTACTGGCGCCACTTGGAAGGTTGATGAACAAGTGGCCTGAGCCCTACTGTTCAGATGAAGGGGCTGGAGGGAGCCACGCCGAGAACCACTACCACCTTCAGAACTGCCAGCCTCCGCCCACAGCCGCTCCTAGATAACTTGTAGGTTTGGCCTCCCAGGCCCTGCTGGATGGCAAGTCCTCCTTCCAGCCAGCTGGCCCGCAAGCTAGGCAGGTGGGATAAAAGAACCTCGGGAAGCTGCTCCACGGGTACCTGGAGACCACCCTTAGCCACAGTCAAAGGACAGGGATGAAGGGATGTTATGGCCTGGAGATTTCTGTGGTAACGTTAAGCCCCAGGGGCAGTCCCAGAGAGGAGAAACACTTTGGACCCCATCAGCAGATCTGGAGTATAAATCAGCCGGACAGCAGCTTTTGTTCTTGGTTAAAACTTGGCATCTCAAAAGTGGAGACCAGAAGAGCAGTGGGGATAATTGAGAAAGCCAGCCCAGTTTGGTTTCAGTAACAATTGGGTCTTTGCTAGGACACAGAAGGGCCCCTTCTCCCTCCCTGGCCAGAGCCACATTTCCCAGCTCTTTTCCATCAGGAAACAAAGCTGCTGCGGCCTTGGAGATGCTGGAGATAGGAAGCAAGCCAGGTACTACCAGGGGTGGGCAGGGAAAGCGCCCTGTTTGGAGCTGGCCAGTGAGGGAGCCATGCAGGACCATCCTCTTAATAAGGGTAAGCTGCTACACAGGCGGGCAGGTGTTTGTTCTGTGCATTGGGTTTTATGACCTGCTGTCAGATTTCCTCACATCACACTCAGGACACTTTCAAAGCTGAGTATCCTCAGCCCTGGAAGGTTGAAGCCGGATGTCCAAGCCAGCCACTGTTTCTCTCATTTTATCAGCAAGATTAAGCAAAAAAGACTCAAATTCACATACACAGCAAGGTCAAAATTTTGAATGAGGTCTTGGGGTGATGGCAAGAGTCTATGGATGGCCCCAGCTGCTTGGGAAGGCTGAGGTAGGAAAATTGTGAGCCTTTGAGTTCACGTCCATCCTGGGCACCCTAGTGAGACTGTCCAAAAAAAAAAAAAAAAGTCACTTGAGTGTGGTGATTCCCATTTCTACCTTTTGGTCACCATGCACCAAGCTGATGCTCCATTTCCCGTTTTCTTTCTCCTGCCCCCAGGAATGAGGACTACTCTGTAGTGATCTGAGCTCCCTGGCTCTACCTCCAAGGTGGCCCAGTGGAAAGTTTCAGAAGGTTTTGGTTTCACCGGCAGGGACAGTATTCTGTACCTTCATGGCAGGCGACAGGGTCTTCTAAGCCAGGGAAGGAGATGGAAATAAGGCTGCTCCAGTAACAGAGCCTGTAAGGCCTCCCCACCAGGTCCCCCTCCCACCCCCCACCCCCATGCTCTGCCTCTGCACATCCCCTGCCACACTGTGTTTGCTGCCTCCGGTCTTCTCCACAGGTGGGTGGGCAAAAGATAAAGTTTCCTCGCATGACTACTTGTTCGTGATTCATGCTTTTTAATAAAAGGACAGCTGGCAGAAAATAAGGATCCTGGATCTTCCATCAAGAAAAAAAAAAAAGAAAAGGAAAGGAAAAAGTAAGGATATATATCTGTGTAATCTCCCTAGGCCTACCTAGCATAGTCTATGGAAGACATCACACCCTAATCCCTAATCCGTATTCAAGCCTGACAGATCAGACCCCCCCCCCTTTCTGGTGCCCCTTTTACTATAGCTTAAGTGCTTGAGAAGACATGTTAAACATAAGAAGACATGTTAAACGCACCCCAACAGGACCCACTGAGTTCAAGACAACCTTTCTAGAACCCTAATATTGGTCATAAGACATAGTACCCTGCTTCTTACCAACTACCCTTCCCAAGCTAAGTGGCGAGAGGAAGGCCTCGAGTGTGCACTGGGGTCTCTAGTCAAGGCCTCTTTGGACCTGGACCATTTCCAAGGTAGTGAGCAGTCTCCCCCCAGGTGGGAGAGGGAGAAGACTAGGGTTGGCCATCTTTCAAGGCACTCTCTGACTCCTGCGACCCAGGGAACTAGGACATAGGAAAAGGACTTCCTGGTCTACTTCCTCCAAAAGGAGAGTTATCAAAGCTGTCCACCTGGGACGCTTTTCCCTTCCCAGCCCCTCCCTTCCAGCAGCACCAAAAGGAAGCAGGAAAACATCCGTCATCACAGCCCAGGATACTACTTTTCCACTCGGCTTCTATCAGGATATCCCTGCCTTTTCCCAGGGGCTTAGGGTCAAAAACCTGGAGGGCAGATGGTGAAACTGCCAGCTTCATTCCAGAATTCTTGGCCTTGATGAGGCTCCGTTTCTAATTGATTCCAACCCAGTTTTAGGCCTGGTCAGCTCCCAGTCAGTCTCCGAGCAGGACAATTACATGACCCAGGGGATCCTGTCCACCCCTGAGTGACCTCACATCGCGTACCTCTGCTCAGGTTACAGCCAGGCTTCTGGAAGGGACAGGGTTGTCACCAACGCCTCTTCTCCCCTGTATCTATTTCTCTCAGGGATGGGTAGGTCTGGGGAGTAAGGAGCCAGGGAGGATTCCAGATGTCTGCGTTGATGGACAGCTTGATCCCGTTTCTTAAAGCCAGGTAAGGGCAGCTTCGAGAACTGGAAACTCCCCGGTTTAGCCACTCAGGCCTTCCTACACACCCCCCCGTCCCCCGCCCCCCGCCCCCCGCCCTTGGCAATGAGAACAAAAGAGGGGAATTTCAAGGTGATTTCCAGGTTTTCAGAGCAAACCCAGTTATTGAGGATTAACTGAGGATGTACAGTGTCAAACGGGTACCCAGGGGCAGGGTGCAGAAGGCCGCCTCTCCAGAGTCCCTGCCCTCCTGTCAGAGACCTGAAGCTGACCTGCTTGCTGCTGCAGGGTGTGAGGGTATGCCAAAGGGGCATGTGATGCAGCCAGGAAGAGAAGCCAGAACTATCAGTCAAATCACTGGACATCCAAGTCACCTGGCTCTGGAAGGGTTTCTTCCACTTCTCATTTGGCAAAGGCTTTGAGACAGAAAAGACGTCCTCTGTGGTACCCAGTACTGTGCAGAGTCTGACTAAATAATAGATGCCTCTAGCTCTGTCCTTCTGGGGACCCAGAGAGGGAGGTGCCTGTGTCTGAAACAGGCCTAGGAAGGTATGGGTTTTAGGCATGCTCTTTCTTGTGTGTCTGTCTTCTAGTCAAGTCCCTGGGACACACAAACAGAGAAAACTGTATGCAACAGCCATGGGCAAGCTCCAAGGGCATCACCACCTGAGACGTGGGCACAAGTCAGGTTGGCAGGAGTCATCCTCTGCCACCCCCTGGCTCCCTCTTATATCTGTTGCAAAGTTGACTCCAACCCTGAAAGTGTCAGAAGGGGCCAGGGTTGAGCATGGATTTTGTCAGAGGAGTAGATGGATAAGAAAGTAAACAGGGCTAGGGGGCTGCTCCTGGAGGTGCAAAAGGGCCCACTCACTACTCCAGGGGTACAGATCAAAGACATCCAGTTACACAAGCAGAGATCAGGACCCAGTGAAACTGATCTGGAGGCAAGGCCAGGGAAAGGAATAGCGGGATCCAGAACTGTCTTTGGACCCTACCGCACACCTAAGTTTAAGGAGTTGATTTCAGAGATCAACAATAAACTGAATTAAGCATAATTACAGCCCTTGTCCACCATCCTCTCTGTATAGCGCCCCTAGAAGGGACGGGGTAGTCCCAGACAGAATCCAGACAAATGTTCTTCATCCAAGAGTGCCCAGGCTCTAGCAACTCCAGTTACAGGGGTGACTGCTCCTAGATATACCAAGTCCTCAAGTACAGGAGGGGGGTCCTGGTCCCCAATCAGTCACATGATTGTCAGAGGTGAGACCAGCAGAGGCGAGGCGTCAGGCCAGGTGCTGGGCATGAGCCCTCGGCATAGGGATTTAAGGAAGGAAACCACTGAGGCTGAAAATAAAACTTTAATGTGCACAAGGAACCCCATTTTAATGATGGACAGAGAGAGCAAGGTGCAGGGCAATGGGGAGGGTGGACAGTGGCCAAGAAGGAGGCCCAGGAAGCCAGAATGGTAGAGACAAGAGCCCAGGAGAGAAGAGGTCGCTGAGCAGGCAGGGAGTTCAAGGGTAGGGACTGTCGGGGAGACAAGGACCCCAGTGGCACCAGTCTGGCTTCACTGGGCTGGGCCGCCTCCAGCCTCCATTCTTTACCGCCTACAGTTCTTTCTTGCTGGAGTCCGGAGCTGGGCAAATTTGCCCTTATCCCTTTAAACGTCTTTCCAAGGGCTGAAGTACTGACCCTGTGAAGAGGAGAAAAGCAGCCTGTAATGGCCTGGCCCCAGTACTGCCCTCTGTCCACGGGTCCCTGCACTGGTGGTGTCCCTTCAACATCTCCCGGAGAGGCCTCCTTCCTCCCAGTGTTGTGACACTAAGACCAAGGCCCAGGGACCAGATACAGTAGGTCAACAGGCCACCTGACTGCAGTGCCCAGAGGGCTCAGCCAGGGTCCCATCTCCTGCTACTACCAGCCCAGGGGGGTGGGACGAAGATGGTATCTGTGTACACTCAGCCAGGCTCCAATCACTTCACTTCCTCCTTATGACAAACGATGCTTCCACCAGAGGCCAGTGGATCTGGTGAGGTCTGAGTTCCAGATTGCTTTTTCTCAGGGACTTGCGAAATTTGAGCACTAAGCCACAGCCTGTGGCCAGTGTGTCAGCCTCAAGTCAGGGGTTAGAGGGAATTGTAAGGGAGGAGTCAGGGAGAGGCAAGATGGGAACAGGGAGTCCAGCTGTCTCCAGTAAGGGCTTGGGGGCTCAGGGCCAGCCCAACAGGGCACGCTTATTGGAGAAGTGGGGGTGGAAGGGAGTGTGCAGATGGGGATCACTTTGTGCCAAGGAGTGATGCTGGCTGTGAGCCCTGATTTTCACATTCACTCAAGCTGCTTGCATGATGGGGCAAGCTACTGACCCTCTGGAGCCTTCAGAGAGTCTGCTCATCTGTAAAACGGGCTTCTAACAGTCCCTGCCTCCTAAGGGTTCTTCAGGTTCCTGTAGAAAAGGATCTTCACTCAGGAAACTTTTGCTAAAATAGTACTACCTAGATGAGCTGAGCCAATCTGAGAACAGAGCTTTCTCCTACAGAAGGCAGAGTGGATGCTGCAGATGTGAGGAGTGAGTGACGGGCACTTGCTCAGCTTGCACAAGGCCCTAGGTTCAAGTACTACCACCACCAAACCAAACCAAACAAAACAGAGCAGCCTGGGAAATGCTCTTAACAGAGCAAGAGGCCAGCTGAGGTCTACAGGACAAGTGGACAGGAGGGGGACAGCTGTTGCCTCTGGTGTCCCTTCCTGGCTGTTCATGACAAACCGGTCTTGCTCAGCTCTCCAAGGCTGAGTTTCTCTTTGTATTTGTTCATAAACAGGCCTCCCTATGTTCCCTTCTGCATCCCCTCCCTGGGTCCTGGATTAAGAACCAAGGTCCCCCGAGACATCCCCACCCTCCACCACACTGCCCACTCCACCCTCTCCCTCTGGAGTCCAGCAGCTGCAGTGGGGGTGGATGTACTGCTGGATCTGGCAAGCCCCACTGACTGACCACTTCCCTTCCCTCCCAGGTCCAGGGGATTATGGGACACCACCTGGGGCTGACAGTGAGCCAGCAGGTCCTGCCAGCGGATGTAGGTCTGGGTGGCGAGGTCCTTGAGTTTGGTCCGGTGCATGGCCTGGGGGCTCTCCCGGATATGGGTGCTGATGTGACGGTCCAACTGCATGCACAACAGCTGCAGCTCACCCTGAAGAGGAGATGGAGGAGGCGTGACATAAGCCAGGCATATTCTGGAGGCCGTGCAAGAAGGCGAACTAAGTCAGAAAGGGAGTGTTATCTCTGAGTGACTGCTGGGAAGCTGGGTAGGAAAGGGAGGAGAGGCGGAGGGCAGCTTCAAGGGGCAGGTCAGCATCTTTTGGAATGGCTTTTGAGACATGGTGGGAGGAAGGGGCTCTGGCAGCCCTCGCCACTTTTTTCTTGGCCTCTCACTCTGTGGTTCCTGATGGAAGGCTGGTTCCACCCTGGCTGTTACGGGCCCACATTCCTTGATGCGGTAGATACAGGCACCCAACCCTACCCTGCTCCAGCATCTTGGGAGACTCACCCACTGATCTGGAGTGATATCCTGGCTACTGACCACCACCCCGGCCAGTGTCAGGAGGCTGTGGCACAGATAGCAGACCTAAGAGAGAGAGAGAGAGAGAGCACAAAGATGCTCATCTGAGCCTGGGAAGGTTCCTTTTCTCAGCACACAGCAACATCTCTCACAAAAGCATCTTCAAGGAAGGCCTGCATGAACAGAACTTGGCCTCAGTGTCTCAGAGTTGCGACTGTCCCAGTAGGCTGTACCCACATTCCTTGTCACTAACGACTGATCCCCAAATGCCTGCCACCCAGAAAGCCATACCACCCCAAGTCTCACTCTGGAACTCCTGAAGTGAAAGTCCAGAGGGTCTGTGTACTCCGCCCTCTGCAAGGTCTGTTTGCTGAGACAGTGGTCAGTGACTGAGGTGAAACTATGCCCTGTGCAAGCTCTAAGCCCCGACCTTGGAAATGTGCCCCACAGCGGATAAGCACCTCACAAACCCAGGCACAGCAGGACGCTGGGGAGGGAAGGGGAGGCCAATGGGAATTACCTGCATACCTTCCCCACCAAGTCCACCCTCACTCTTTTGTTTTGTTTTGTTTTTTTTTCTCGTTTTTTTGAGACAGGATTTCTCTGTATAGCTTTGGAGCCTGGGAACTCGCTCTGTAGACCAGGCTACCCTCGAACTCACAGAGCTCCGCCTGCCTCTGCCTCCCAAGTGCTGGGATTAAAGGCATGTGCCACCACCACCTGGCCCACACTCACTCTTGCCACTAGAAACTTCAGAGGTAAAAACAGAACAAAGGCCAGGTATGATGGAGCATACCTACAATCCCTAACTTGAAAGCTAAAGCAAGAAGATCACAAGTTCAAGGCCAGCCAAGGCTACAAAGGAAGAAGAGCCTGTCTCAAAAACAAAAGAAAATATACAACAATGAACACAAGAAAGAGACAAAAAGAAAAAGAAGAAAATTAGGACAAAGGCCAGTTCTACTGAATGAGAGAAGGGATTAGGTCCAAGACACCCCGGGTCCTCTACTGGAGGTGTTCGATTAGGGGGCATCTGCCTGCTATGCAAAGAAAACGGACTGTCGTTCTGGCAGACGAAGGGTCGCTGACAGCAGGCAGCCTGCTCTTGGCACTGTGGACTCCTGTCAGCAGGCACACCACCTCTACACAGAGGTCTTTCATCCCTGTCCTCTGGCTCCTTTTCCATCTAAGATAAGGAGAACGGCGGCACACTGAGGCCTGGGGAAGAGAAGGGATCAAAGAGGAAAGCCCGGGATGGCCAGGAGGGCTCTCAACCGGCCCCAGGGCCCTCTGTGGCTGCTTCCTTGCCTTTATAGTCCTGCCCTTCTGGATCGCCAGATAGTGGCCAAGAAACAAGGGCATCATTTTTGCATGGACCCAGGAGCCTTCCCGAGAACCACCTCTATGGGTACTCAACTTGGCACCATGTACTGACTTCTTGAGACCAGTGTATCCTGTGGAGAAACGCCACCTGGGCTCCCAGGGCAGCGCCTGCCTCCTGAAGACAACCGCAGAATAGCCAAAGCCTCCAGGGGATCTGACTCACAGGTTGACCAGGTGAGGTGTCAGTGGGGGGCCTACACACACGGCAACAAAGAAACAAAGTGGAAAGGGTAGGCCTCCAGGAGGGCCGCCATGGGGAGGGCCGCCATGGGGAGGGCCGCCATGGGGAGGGCAATATCCAAGCTTTCTAAACTGGACTCCACCTGCCATCCCTGCCCCCTCCTCCTTGGGCTGCCTGGTGCTGGCCACCCCAGCATTAAAATCAGAGTCCCAGGGTACTCAGTCGACCCCTCTGTTGTATAGGCTCAGGCCTGCCCACCTCAACTGTCCCTTGACTAAGAGCTTCTACTCAGCACGAGGAGGAGCTTTGAGAGGCAATGGATGATTTGCTTAACAAATACCAAATCTCAGCTGCGCAGGACACCAACAGGGAAAGAGTTCTTCTGCTTCTGGAGAGACCGTGGTGGGGCTGCAGGGAGGAAGTGACTAAACCAGAGTGGGCCTCGAAAGGACAGGAGGATTGGAGGCGAAAACGGCCCTGTGGGGGAGAGGCAGCAGATTACAACACCAGATCCTGGGGCTGATGCAAGAGACAGGTGGAGCATAGGGAGGAGGAGGAGGCAGGGCTGGTCGGCCAGGTAGCTGGCTGGGCTTGAACGGGGTAAGGAAGGGCATGGCTTGGGGACAGGGCTGGCTGCAGAGGGAGTGAGCAGGGTTGTGTTGTGGGGGGCTGATGAGAGGTTCCTGGGGGAAACTGGCGATAGAAGGCAGCAGCATCTGGTGTGGGTTGAACACACCAGTGCGTACAGTCTTTCTGGGACAAAAGATTGCAAGGTGTGCCTTTCATATTCCCCCCCGCCACACACACACAGGGTTTCTCTGTGTAG